AGTGTGTCTTGGACAAAGGCGTGCTTGGCAAAATCACGCAAAAACATCTTAAATGTGTCTCAAGGTACCCCCTCTCCAAGTACCGCAGGAGACACTGCGCTTGCAATGCACAAACGCTCTTACCTCTACTCTAGCAGTCACCAGTCCCAAAAACACTTTCAATGCAACAATGTGTCCTTACTTTACTGTCTAGTGACTCTTGGAAATAAAGCTTGCCTCAACAATATCTGGAGGACGCAAAAGCAAAAGCTTGAATCCGGCAACACAAACTCAGGCCGTGCCTTGCATCGCCTGCAGGAAAGTGCCACACAACTCACTATTTCTCCCAATTGCCACTTCACGTCTCCCATTAAATCAAGCAGTACTGTCAACAGTTGCTGGACAAGTCCAGTCACATGCGGGCGGATCAAAAGCGGTGGAAAGCCGAACATGCAACACCCATAAGTAGTGAAAAACTGCTACGAAGAAGCCGTGAAAGAGTCAACTCCGCACTCTCAGGCAAGCACCAGTATTTGTTGCTGGCCTGGAGAAATGCCATGTGTCAAATGCAATCATAACAGCTTTAGGCAACTGAGCAGGCCTAGCTGAAGCAGGTCGAGTACTTCTGGCCACAGCACTGCTTGGCCTGGAATCGTTGGCTTAGCACTGCTGGGTGACATGGGTCCAGATGTGAGGCCTCTCCTACCAGCTGAATTTTCTCTCTAATTACTTGGTTAGTCCTGCATTGGGAAAGTGCAACGGACTCACATACAAGCAAAATACTGCCTACAAATGCCCCAAAAAGCCTAAAGTTGGAGTTGAAATCCTTCACCTTCACATATGATCCACCTACATCCATCCCCTCCCCCACCTCCGTCGGTGTCCGTCGCCTCCCCTCCCTTTGCCTGAAAGGGAGTCCTCGAGACACCACCGCTGAGCTGGGCCGCGAGTCTCCGGCGGTGGGCGGCCGCGAGAAGGTCCCGGCGGCCGTGGAGGCTTGGGAGGGCGGCCTTGGTGAGAAGCAAAACTGCGTTGAGCACTACCAGTAGCCAAGCATGAGCAAAACAACATCTACTATTATATATATATATGTATTTATAGCATCCCTTCAAGCTCACCTTTGTCTAGAAGATGGGGTGAAGAAAAAGAAGAATGACAACTGTAGAGGAATTTGGAGGAAAGTCAGGATGTCAGGAAGTCTTCTTTGTTGTTCGCTGAGCCACACTCGATTGGACAGCCGTTATATAACATATCTTCAATACATCTGTCAAATTGGTACAGTACAGTAGGTCTTTCAAACCGTTCTGCTTTTAAACACGTCGGTTGCCTCCAAAAAGAAGCGTTTGACCGCCCGGATCCGCCTGGATGCCGCCCTGTCGGCTGGATCGACCTTGACGAGTTCACCAAGGACCTTCACCGGCTCCGCGTGCTCTTTCACGTCCTCAAGAGACGCGTAAAATCGTGTCAAAAACTGTGACGGTGAGCGGCAAAAGGGAAGTATATGCAGCAAATATCCTGCGAAAACAAGAGAAACAAAGAAAGTGAGAACATTCATAGACGATCATAGACCCTCATAGAACCCTTTAGACAATGTTTCTTTCACGTTCGCTGTGATGGGCCTGTGTTGGATCGCGAAAGTCTTCGGCTTCTTGCCGCCCCAAATGCTCTCTACTCGGGATGTACCTCACGAGGTTGAAGAAAGAGCAGAAAGCCATAGAAAACGGGAAGGATTCAGTGTCTTTTGTGACCCAACATGTGAAGATCTTTTAAATAGAAGCATTGTAAAGGCCGGTAGCAACGGATACGATATGCTTCCTTCAGAAAGCATCACAACATATCAAACCTATCCGTAGTATGGACGGATGGAATTGTTGTTCTTGGTCAGAGCCATCTTCGCGCTTGAGTTCAGAGCAGAAAATTCCCCGGATCTTCGGTCTGTGTGAGATATGCCTCCAAAGCCAGGGTTGGAAGCAGGGTGCTTCTGGACATGTTGACGACTGGATATTTGATGAAAAAGTGATGTCTTGCCCAAACTTCGGCTTCATGTGAAATCGAACAAAGAACTGTTACTGACCCCAAAGAATAAGACCGAATCCATGTTGGCACAAGATTGGCACCATGTCTTGCCTGCAAATGGCGACCTTCAGTCGGCACATCTTGCATCGCTTGCTGGTGCTGCCTAGAGGCACCGAAAAAGTGCGGGATACTCCCGGAGTAGTTTCGCTCTGAGTTTCGCTCTGCATCTATTTTTCCACCACAGGTGCAGTGTCAACTGATCGCTTCCAGAACTTGAGATCTGACATGAGCCTCACAGGTTCCTTTTTCTTCCAACCAGGTGCTTGCTCTAGCTCCACAGCAAGCACACGGTGCGCACGGTGCCGCACAGGGAACTCAACTCAGCTGGGCAACTCCACCACCTCACGGGTCTCGAGGGGTCTCGACGGGTCTCAACGGGTCTCAACGGGCTCTGGGGGTCGGTGCTTGACTCACACCTGGATACTCCGGCAGCTTCAGCCGGTACTTCTCCAGAATTCCCGGAGGAACTCAGTGAAGCATGGCTCGCTTCTCTCGTTTCAAAGCAAATGAGTGAAGCATGGTCTCTTTCTTTTTTCGCAGGGGGGGAGGCCGCTAGTAGCTAGTAGCTAGTAGCTTACTTAAGCTAGTAGTATGGACGCAGGATAGCTCGCCCTAGATTTTTAGGAAAACTTAACTAATCAAGACACTGGCGCCCTTGTTGGTCCAAGAGTTGAGGGAGGAAAGGTCGGAAAGGTATTGAAAAGGAACAAATCACAAGACATTGAGCGGCGTCAATCATTGAACCATCCTGGACAGCATCAACTGAGTTTGGGGCCAAAGCGACCGCCCAGGAAGTGCCTCCCTTTGAAGTGCGCTGCACACATCTTTGGCGCAGTGAGGGAGATCAACAGACCTGCGCAGCTCTCGTGGCAAAGCTTCACCACAAAGCGTCCACTTGCAGTTTTACACGCTTACACATTCTCCCTGTTGATGTTTCCTCGTTACCTTTATTCCCCTTACTTGTCTTTTTGTACAATGTATACATCGGGACCCTTCCCTCCACTTCCCCCCCGCTCGGGCCACTTTTTCCGGCTGAGGGGGCGTGTCCAGATTGGCCTGGCATGGCCGAAAGCAGAGCTGCTTCTCCAGCGACATGGGCGGCACTGCCACGCACGGCAGAGCTGCTTCCCATCGAGGCTTCGACCAATCGGGAAGTCTCATCGCTACGTCCTCCGTCCCGCGAGCTACATTGCGTCGCCCAGCTCCGACCCCAAGAATGGCGTTCAGACCTCAGTGCGACCAAGAATGGCATTCCGCCGCGACCAGTCTTCGGTCTGCCCACGACGAGCGGCGAAATTGCCTGAGGCGTTGATGACAAAGTACACTCCACTGAGGACCTTCGGGCCGGATTTGGCGCATCATCATCCGCTGATGAAAGACGCTTATGGAACCGATTAAAGGCATGTCACAGCTCAATCGCAGACCAAGCCGATCATGTCATAACTGCTTTTTTTGGACCCAAAAAAATGCGTCGATGTCGAGCCATTCAAACAAGGTGCGAGAAGCTCGGGGATCAGCTTCAGGGAGTTAAGACTTAGACCACGATAGAAAACCTTCAGGTCACCTCAGCACGTACCCAGCGGCTTGGGACATGACATGCCTTTCTGGATTCACGTGCCACTTGCTGATTCAATCGCTGAAGGTCTCATGCCCACTGTGTCGGTTCCAAAAACCTAAACGTTCTGAGTCGAGAAATGAGTCGGTTCTCAGGGTCCCATCCAAGGCTAAACGTCATGCTCAAGGACACACCAGACCGTGCCAGACCCACTTTGAGTGCTTGCAAAGTGTGATTGGTCTCGATGTCTCTTTCACTGAGTTCATCTTGTCTGTGCTAAGCTTACGGCCTTTCGCGTAGATGCTCTTCGCACCTGATACAGGTTTTGGATTTCTTGAAAGCCCTTCTTCAAACACAAGCTTGGCAGTTGAGGCAGTGGATGGTGGGGATCCTGGGGATTCAAAGTAATTAGTTACACTAATTAGTTGCATCTTGACGAAAGCGAAGCTGCAGCTGCTGAGAGTTGGACAATCCTTCAGAGACGGTGGCATGCTGGCGCGAGGGCCTTGTGCAAGCAACAGCCAATTGGGCCACACCGCCCCTTGGTCGCCAATAGAATTCTTATGAATTCTTGCCTGCGCAAGTGTGCTGCCACCTGCGAGCGGAAATGCAGCGCAGGGTGCAGACGAAAGTGGGCTCAAAGCTTGAAATGTCTGAATGAAAGCTCGCAGTTTCGTATTTGTCTCTGTTTTCCTTTTTGTCTATTGCATATGTGTGTTGTTGTTTATTTTTTCAGGGGGGGTAGGCCGCTAAGAGGTAGTAGCTAGAGGTAGGTAGCTAGTAGTCTAAATAGCTACTACCGACTGGATGCAGGATAGCTCGCGCTAATGATTTGGTTCCTAGATTTTGAGGGAAACTTAACTAGTAGTAATGGCCTCCAACCTACTAGCGATGCCCTCCAACCTAGTAGCGATGGCCTCCAACCTACTAGCGATGCCCTCCACCCTAGTAGCGATGGCCTCCAATCTAGTAGCTTCTTGCCCTGGTATCATTTGCAAGTGAATCAGCGGGACAAAAGAATTGGCTGCTCCAGCTTTGCATCTATGCCTGCGCCGCAAAGTATCCAAAGGGTAGGTGACCTCGACAATGCAAGCAAGTATTGCTTCAGAAGCCAACACACAAGGTTGGACTTCCACCAGCGAGTGGGGTACTGTAAGTATAAATGAACATTATTGAACATCGTGACATCGTGAAGTTCTCACCTTTGACATGGCTGTCAATCAGAAAGAAATTGAACGAAGCTTTTGTGCTTTGGTGGTTGAGGCTTCCACGGTTTGGGCAACGAAGCCAGATGCGGCACCAACAACTAGGTTCCTGGCATCCGTGTTGGTGTCTGCGCAGTTCGACCTACCCTGGAACAACTCGAGACTCGTGCTCCCATGTGGGGATCGTCCGATTCAGACCGATCGTGGGTGTGTCGATCGGTCTGTGTTCATCGGCTCGGAAGATGGGCGTTGGGCTCTAGAAGTATGGCGGCTGCGCCAGGGATACAAGTGAGCGGGTGCTCCGTGTCGAACCAGCCAAAAGAGGTCCTCTGCCGACGATGGCGACCAGGTGCGCAGGCGCCCTTTTCTTCACCGGTGTTTCTTCTGAAAATGCAACTGAGATTTCTGCACTTTTTCGGTGTCACTGAGTTGCCGTTTATTGTTATACCATGAGCAGCCCCAAGTTAATTGTTGGGCCTCAATGCGAGACTCTGCGTGAAGGTCAGTTGTTGTTCAACATAGGATTCTCAGCTTTCCTGGTTACCCCAACATTGACTGCGCCATGATCCACTGTCCCATCCACATCTAGCATCGCTACTAGTAGCAAGAAGCTGCTCCTGGCATTACTAATTACTAGTAACAAGGACGCTGCTAGTAGCTAAGGGCATCGCTACTAGGAGCAAGAAGCTGACACCAGTTGCGCAATTCAGCTGAGTTGCGCCGGGTTGAAGAGACTTGGGGTCCACAGAGGGTCGGTGTCCCATTTGCGTCATCAGCCAGGGTGCAAGCGTATCATGCAACGCCGTGGCAATGGAAATATATGGCAACGCAGTGAGAAGACACAGCGGTAATCCTCGGTAAAGGTTGAGAAGGCCATGTCTCCGTCTTGTTTCGGAGAAGAAGTGCAGAAGGCCTCGGAACTGTCCCTTCGTGTCGGCCGCCAAGCAAGTGTAGGCCACATCCAATGGATAGACCAAGATCAGGGCCCCAGCTCCCGACATGTACAAAAAGGAACATCTGCGAAGATATCCTTCGAAGCCTTGATAATGCCGATCACCACCGGGCATCATCCACATCTGAGTCGTCCTCAAGGCACTTAACCGTCCAAAGCCACCCAGAATACTTGCAGTCACATGTGTGGCGGAGCCACGCCAAAGTGAACGGATGCCTTGCTGTTGCAGCAGATCTGAGCATGTGGTTAGAGGTCGAGATCCACCTACCTGCCAGGCGTTTTTGGTCATCTGCACTTTAGCAAACAGGCCCTTTCGACACCCTTTCAAGCAACAAGCGACAACAAATTTTCAAGCAACAAAATGATGACGACATGCGGAAGAAACATGTACAAACATCCCGGATAGGCCAAGCCCACCTGCGCACAAATCTTCACACGTTCCAATGGTGCTGAGGCGAGCTTCGACAGCACTCGCGCAAAGCCGTGTGCGAAAAGCACGGAAAAGAAAAGCCGTCTATCAGAGGCAGCATTTCCAGGCAAGCCGTCAGCATCGGACATGTCATAGGCCCAAACCGGACCTCTCTTTATGAAGAGGTCCTCTTGTCAATTTGGTGTTCACGCATCACACCTATTATGTTGATCAATCCAGAGCCACCTTAGTATTTTTGACTCCTTGTCTTCATGTCCCCTTTGGTCATGCCCAATGCTTCACACCATAACTTGATCTGATGACTCTCAGTCTGTGCTCAGTGCTCTAAGTCAATCGAAGTCAGTACCCCTTGAGCCACGGTGGTCGGCAACGTTTGTTCACACGTGACAAAGCTGCCCAGCAAAACCACAAGCACAGCGCACTGAGCCAACAATTTGCAGCAACGGGAGGACCTGGTTGTAAGGCTGGCCCCTCCGTTGGAGGACCCTTCTCAACATCCCAGCCAGAGGGGATGTCGACTGAAAGCACAGGTGGGCTGCCAGAGCTTGACAGTCTCCTCAAAGATTCAACTAGGCTTAAACATGCAGTGCTCAGCTTGTGGACGAATCAAGAAATTGAGAAACACTCAGATGTGTGATTTGCGTCTCAGACATTCATGAATGTCCATGCAAGCATCCTGATGATGTCGTCGAAGGGCGCACGCACTGCGCCGCTGAAGGAGAATCCGAACTGGCAGACTGCCGCATTGAGAATTTGCAGCTAGGAACAAGACACGCGAAACTCATCGAAACTCACTTGCTTTGCTTTCTTGGTCGCAACTCAAGCATCATGAAAGTGCTGGGACTGACTTGAGAGCTTGCCGCTTGCCCTTCAATGGGTTGCTGAATCATGGCAAGGCTGACAATGGCATCGACCACTGCGCAGTATCGGTCAAGAGAATCCGGCAAAGCTGCTTCGACTGGTACCTCAAAATCAGAAAACCACTTTTGGACCAGCTTTTGGGGAAAGAGTAGACATGCGCGAACTGCAAAGGTGCGGGTTACTTATCTAAATTTAAGATTGGTTCTTCCTCGTTAACCAACACAGTGATTCTCTCTTGCGCACCGACAGTTGCTCCAATTGGGTGCGCAAGTTAGCCTTAGCGCAGTCAGAAGTGTCCTGGGCGCTGCTGTTCATCTGGGGCCCAGACAAAGAGCTGTTCCTTGACATTGGGCTTGGGGTAAATCACGTGGGCCTCGTACCCTCGGGACAAGATCCCATGGATGATAAGGATAAAGAACATTTAAGCTTAGGGAAAAAATAACTTTAAAAAAAAGGGGGGTCTGGCAGCTGGACTTCGGTCGACGTCTGATTCGGTAACCAAACGGTCTGATTCGGTAACTATGATTCGGTAACCAAAAGCGCTGAATCGGTAATCAAAACCGCTGATTCGGTAACTGAGACCAGGAAAACAAAACCAAAAACATCCAAAAACATGTCCACAAGAAGAAACTGATGACCCGGGTGGTGGTGGTAGTAGTAGTAGTAGTAGTTGTAGTCGTGGTTGTGGTCGTGGTCGTAGTGGTAGTGGTAGTGGTAGTGGTAGTGGTAGTCGTCGTCGTCGTCGTCGTAGTAGGAGGAGGAGTAGTAGTAGTAGTAGGAGCAGCAGCAGCAGTAGTAGTAGTAGTAGGAGGAGCAGTAGTAGTAGTAGTAGTAGAAAAAAACATTTTGCATCCACATGGAACGTTATTATCTTGGCCACCCCCCCCACCACCCCATCCCACCCCACCCCGCACTCCTCCTACCCTCCACTCTATTCAGCCATATGCTGTAGATACAAACAAAGTCTTACTGTCTTACTTGAATGAATGCAAAAGGAACGTTATCATCTTGGCCATGGTTCCTGCCCCCCCCCCCCCCCCCACCCCACACTCCTCCTGCCCTCCACCCCATTCCAACCATCGTCTAGCTAAGTTTCTGAACAGTCTGACTTGGTTTCTGAATCGACTGTTTTGGTTTCTGAATCGGCCGTTTTGGTTTCTGAATCGGCTGTTTTGTTTCTGAATCGGCTGTTTTGGTTTCTGAATTGGCTCTTTTGGTTTCTGAATCGTAGTTGCTGAATTACCTGGTTTGGTTTCTGAATCGGCTGACTTGGTTTCTGAATCGGCTGTTTTGGTTTCTGAATCGGCTCATTTGGTTTGAATCGGACCATTTGGTTTCTGAATCGGAATGGTTTGGCTTCTGCATCATAGTTGCTGAATTGGCTGTTTTTGTTTCTGAATCGTAGTTTCTGAAGCGGCTGTTTTGGTTTCGGAATCGTAGTTTCCTGATCGGTTGGTTTCTCAATCGGCTAATGTCCCTGGACTTCTGGGAGTCCCTTGCCGAAGTGGTAAAGGTGTCGCGCGGCCACCAAGCCATCCTTGGGCCAACTCATCCTGTTCTTCTGAAACGATCAAAAAACACGTCAAAGGATGTCACAGCAATGCTACGGGCCACCGGCCAATGCCAACGGCCATGTCACCAGCCATGTCGCTTTTAGTGGTTTGCCAAGTTTCACCTCCATTGTTGCCAGGACCGCAAACAAGAAGCACAGATGGTCTTGCCTCATACCTCTGGAATGCCCCATCATGGCCCACATCCAGTCCTCTAAATCAAAGACTACCATGGGGCACTTCTCGCGCGGGAAGGCTGTAGCAACTGCGCAAGCAACTGAAAGCCCTGCGCAACCACCGCAAATGAAACGACAGCTCTTCTTCCCCCACAAACTGAAAATCCTTCTGGTCACTGAGAAGGAGGCGTTGCTTGAGCTTGGGAATGTTTAAAGCACTCCAAACACCAAAGCCGGCAACGACAGCAATGTTGCCGCTCCAGCCAACTCCATCAGCTGGTCCACACTGAAGCCTGGAGATGTCATGAGCTCCTGGACAGGGAACAGAACCTCCAGCTCTAGGAGCAAGAACGCTACTAATAGCTCCTGGCCATACTACTAGTATATACCAAGAAGCTAGGAACAAGGGCATCGCTACTAGGAGCAAGCTATTAGAAAACATACTTTCCACGTCACAACGTCACGTCTCATGCACATTCCCCGTCGCGATAAAATGTGTCCCACTGCGAGCTTTGCAAGTTTCCTAGTGTCAACCCAAATTTGAAGAAGGTACCCCAGTAAGCTCGATTGTGCACGCGAACACGCAAGGCTGCATAGATCTGTGCGAAGGCTGTATGCCCTGTGCAAATTCAGCCAACAAATCCAAACAAGCCTTGTCCCAGGTCATTCTTCATGTACTGCCCTTGTGGAAACCCATGCTTTCTGGGAAAAGCATTTGCCTTGCTTTTGCTGTTCTCTTGATCAACCAGGTAGCCGGGCAGCGCATAAACGCAGCATCTAAGGAAGTGTGCTTGTACATGGAAGCAGCCGTGTCATTTTGAGACAGGGCGCAGTATCAACATCCCTGCCAGTGTGAAAACATCTTGTTGGCATCACTGGATGCTTCACATGTCATATTAAGAAACTCTTGTTCCAATGATTCGATGGTACGAGTGGTGAACAAAGCTTCTTGGTGTTCCCGATGTCCATGGTATGTTGGGTTGCCCAGTATCGGTTTTCAGTGCTTTGGGTTTGCTCTGAACTTCTTTCCTTGCCAGGAAGGGTATGTAGCGTCAGTCCCTGTCAGTTCTGCAGGGCACCCAAGGCAGCCCCTTACTTAGATATCTGTACGGAAGTTCTGTCAAGTACTCATAGTCCAATGTACACGAAGAATCCCAACCCTCGCGTTAGGTGAAACCATGCACCCCAATCTCTCCTGGTCAAGAGCAATGGCATCCTTTTGGTTTAAGAGAAGTCCACAGGCACCCTGCCAAACGACTCAATAGAGGTAAAACTGCGACAACTTGGAATCAATGCCTTGCAAAATGATACCAATGACGCTAAACAAAGACAAAGCATGAGTATAGCCAAGCCTCCATTTGATCCATAAATCCTTAGGGGCGAACGAAACTATCTCTCATGTCGTGTCGCTCACGTCGTTCGGGAAAAGCGCGTGAGAAGATTTCAATGTTCTAACTTCGCTGAGACCCTCTTTCTGCTTGGGTATCGGGCTTCCTTTCACACAGGCTCTCAAAGAACTGCTGCTGGAAAGGAGAAGCCCTTGGATTCTTGATGGTCCTGCTTTTAGCTATTTCTGGTTCTCATCACTCACAATTCTCTAGATGTTCGATTATTATTCACAGGAACGGCAAGAATCATCACCCCTTTGCTGCAGATGCTTCATCGTGCTTCATGTTCTGACATGTGAAGCATGCATGTTGCTTGAGCCAATGAAATCAGAAAGACCAGCGCTCACAGTGACTCAGTCTCTTCTTTCCCTTCATCTCATCTTTCTCTCTGTCTCTCTCTCTCTCTCTCTCTATCTCTTTCTTTTTCTTCACTTTCTTCACTAACAACTAACAACTATATCTGTTTCCTTCTTCATCAGCCTCCAAGACTCGGCCATGACCTCGCGCTTCCGCTGCTCGCGCATCAGCTCCGTCGCGGCGCCTCGGGACGCTCCGTCCGACCTGCTCCCGCTCCGCCGCTCGGGCCCCAGGACGCTGGGCCGCCCGGACGAACGCCAACCGTCTTCACAAACTCCACTCGCTGGGACTGGACCGACCGAAGGGCGACGAACGGAGCCAAGGGCATCGCTACTAGGAGCAAAGGACGCTACTAGGGGCGTTCGTCGAAGAACCGAAGAGAGTCGTTCGGTCCAAGAGTCGAACGGTCCAAGGAGAGACGTTCGGGCGAAGCATGGCGCGCTGCTCGTGCGCGCCATGTTTCGTGTGGGATTGGGAAGAGATCTGTCTGACCTGAGTCCTCGAAGGCTCTATAAATTCCTCGTCCAGCTTGACGCTCTTTTTCCTGACCTCACACAAATGGCAAGCAAAGCTTCTCACATGATCATTTGCTTCAACCCAAACTGTGCAGAGCAAGGATGTCGCGCCTGCTTTGCCCATCTTGAACTTGTTTGTTTTCTTACCTCAGGCCTGGCGCAAGACGACAGCAACCCCTCCTTCGAGGTTGAAGTAACAAGATAAAAGTCGAGTCCAAGATCTGAGGCCTTGGAAAAACTACTTGGAAAACTTGGAAGACTAAAGGACCAACGATCTCTCTAAAGAATGGGAGGAAGAACCAACGGACAAAAAAATAACAGTAACAATAAATAACTACTTACAAAATGAATGCTTGTTGTTTGTGGGAAGGGGCTGTTGAGTCCAAGATCCAAGAAAAACATCCAATGAGTGTTCGATTTTTGTGGATTGCATGCAGTCCGCTGCAGCGTCTCAAACCCGAAAGTCGACTCGCCACACCTCATGCTTCCTCGTGCTGGCCTGCCGCTGAGAATGAGAGTCATCAATTCCTTCCCTTTTACACACAGGAATGAACGCAAGAACAGAACAAAACACGGGACACGCACAAGAACAAGGGGGAAGGAAGTGCAAGAAAAAGGGTGCTGGGTGTGTGTGTGTGTCACACCCTGGTTCTAAGGGTTTTCCACCTTTTCACCTTTCCACTACCACCGAGATCGTTCTTTTTCCATTGATGTGAATTCATCACAGGCAGGGGGCACAGGCCCATCGTGGATACCTGTGCCAACGAAGCTGTTCCACGATGGGGGATGCGGAGATTGATCACCTCCGTGTACCTGCGACTAACTCTTGCTCAAGCTGTACCAATTCTCTTTGTTTGATTCCATGGTGGTTCATGATACTTCCCCCAAACCTTTTTCCTTTCAGCCACTTGCAGCAGCCACGCGTTTTTTTGCAGCCTTTCACCGCAGTCGCTCGCGTGTTTCTGCAGATGACAACTTTCAATGTTGAAACACCTTCAAGTTTTCGGACCTTTCACCACGCCGTTCCATCACCTTCCTTCCCATCGTGACAACTGAATATAACTGAAAACCCAAGTTCGAAGTGTAACCCGCTCTTACGTCTCTCGTGACTTACTCTTGCACTTGAGCTTTCGGCCTCACTTCCGCTTCAGACCCCCAGGATCCTTTGGGTTTCCCTGCAGGCTTGCACTTGAGCTTTTGGCCTCACTTCCGTTTAAGACCCCCAGGATCCTTTGGGTTTCTCTGCCGACTTGCGCTTGAACTTTTGGCCTCACTTCCGTTTAAGACCACCTGGATCCTTTGGTTTTCTCTGCAGACTTGCACTTGAGCTCCGATCGAGCCAAGGCACTCATTTCTGAGGCTTTCAAACTAAGGGCTCTAACGAGACCCACCGGCTTGGACCGTATTCGGCGTCGGCCTGTTCCAATTTCGGGACAGTACAATCACAGACGTCATTGTTGCGCATAGGCCCACTCATGATGTCTGAGCCCTCCACGGGGAGGGCCATGTGTGTGCGTAACCCGCTCTTACACGCGGTTGACAAGTTTCTTTAAATTGGCTCGACTTTTGAAAGCAGGGGATCCAGGCAGTTGTGAGTTGGCCCTGGACCAACGAAGACGGACTCACAACTGGTGAAGCGAGAAGGGACGCCTTCTTGTGTACCTGCCATTTTAACTTACCGTGTAAAGGGCTGATGCATTGATCGATGGTGTCGCCGACTTTGATTGGTTTTTCGAATTTTCAAGGACACACACTTAGGTGGTTCTGGGCTTTGCCATCATCCTAACGCTCCACACTCCAAGACTCATTCCCCAGTGTGTAGAGGGCGCATGCCAGAATTGGCAACACCGTCGAGACCCTTCATGGAATTCTATAGCTGGCACGGGCCTTCCCGCGAGAAGCAATTGGTCCTCGTCCAGAGGTTCCAGAATTTAGCACACCAATGTGGTGTTGACTGGTTGCTCACATGCGGAAGACACAGTCTTCAGACAGACTGTTCTTAGCTTGCAAGCGCAGTTGCGAAGCGGCAGAAGCTGCCATCGAGCGCAGTTGCAAAGCGGCAGAAGTCGATTTGATTGATTACTTCAGTGCTTTGCACTCGTTGCCCGGATCTGAAGCTCAGCCTTGCACTTGAGCTTTTGGCCTCACTTCTGTTTAAGACCCCCAGGATCCTTTGGGTTTCTCTGCAGGCTTGCGCTTGAGCTTTTGGCCTCACTTCCGTTTAAGACCCCCAGGATCCTTTGGGTTTCTCTGCAGACTTGCACTTGAGCTCTGATCGAACCAAGGCACGCATTTCTGCGGTTTTCAAACTCAGGACGCTAACGAGACCCACCGGTTTGGGCTCTATTCGGCATCGGCCTGTTCGAATTTCGGGACACTGTTGCGCATAGGCCCACTCATGAAGTCTGAGCCCTCCACGGGGAGGGCCATGTGTGTGTGTAACGGGCTCTTACACGCGGTTGACAAGTTTCTCTAAATTGTATCGACTTTGAGAGCAGGGGGCCCAGGCAGTTGTGAGTTGGCCCTGGGCCAACCAAGACGGACTCACAACTGGTGAAGCGAGAAGGGAGGCCTTCGTGTGTACCTGCCATTTTAACTTACCGTGTAGAGGGCTGATGCATTGATCGATGGCGTCGCCGACTTTGCTTGGCTTTTCGAATTTTCAAGGGCGCACGCTTGGTAGGATGTTCTGGGCTTTGCCATCATCCTAACGCTCCACACTCCAAGACTCATTCCCCAGTGTGTGTGTGTGTCACCGCCTGTTTCTAAGGTTTCCATACGTTGCCTTTTTTCCCTTCAGGTTAAAAAGAAGCAGGGGGCGCCTGAAGCAGAGATAGGGCAGGCGCCAACGAAGACACCTATCTCTTGCTTGTGATATCGACGGGAGACGTCCTGTCGACGTACCTGCATTTGTAAAGGGCTACTGAGCGATGTTAAACAATTCTG